CAAAAAATCAATAAATCCAGGAGCTGGTTTTTTGAAAAGATCAACAAAATAGACAGACCACTAGCCAGATTAATAAAAAAGAAAAGAGAGAATAACCAAATTGATGCAATAAAAAACGATAAAGGGGATATCACCACAGATTCCACAGAAATTCAAACCATCATCAGAGATTATTACAAACAACTCTATGCACACAAACTAATAAACCTGGAAGAAATGGATAAATTCCTGGACACTTGCCTCCTCCCAAGCCTAAACCAGGAAGAAGCCAAAACCCTGAACAGACCCATAACAAGGTCTGAAGTTGAGGCAGCAATTAAGAGCTTACCACCCAAAAAAAGCCCAGGTCCAGACGGGTTCACAGCTGAATTCTACCAGACATACAAAGAGGAGCTGGTACCATTCCTTCTGAAACTATTCCAAACAATACACAAAGAGGGAATTCTTCCCAAATCATTTTATGAGACAAACATCATCCTGATACCAAAACCCAGCAGAGAGTCAACAAGAAAAGAAAACTTCAGGCCAATATCCATGATGAATATAGATACAAAAATCTTCAATAAAATACTGACAAGCCCATTGCAACAGCACATCAAAAAGCTTATCCACCATGATCAAGTAGGCTTCATCCCGGGGATGCAAGGCTGGTTCAACATACGCAAGTCTATAAACATAATTCACCACATAAACAGAACCAAAGACAAAAACCACATGATTATCTCAATTGATGCAGAGAAGGCATTTGAGAAAATTCAACAGTCCTTTATGCTGAAAACCCTCAATAAGCTAGGTATTGATGGAACATATCTCAAAATAATAAAAGCTATTTATGACAAACCAACAGCCAATATCATACTGAATGGGCAAAAACTGGAAGCATTCCCCTTGAAATGTAGCACCAGGCAAGGATGCCCTCTCTCACCACTGCTATTCAATATAGTATTAGAACTTCTAGCCAGAGCAGTCAGGCAAGAAAAAGAAATAAAGGGCATTCAAATAGGAAAGGAGGAAGTCAAATTGTCTCTATTTGCAGACGACATGACTGTATATCTAGAAGACCCCATTGTCTCAGCCCCAAATCTCCTGAAACTGATAAGCAAGTTCAGGAAAGTCTCAGGATACAAAATCAATGTGCAAAAATCACATGCATTCCTATACACCAATAACAGACTTAAAGAGAGCCAAATCAAGAACAAACTTCCATTCACAATTGCCACAAAGAGAATAAAATACCTAGGAATACAACTAACAAGGAACGTAAAGGACCTCTTCAAGGAGAACTACAAATCACTGCTCAATGAAATAAGAGAGGACACAAACAGATGGAGAAACATTCCATGTTCATGGTTAGGAAGAATCAATATCGTGAAAATGGCCATACTGCCCAAAGTAATTTACAGATTCCATGCTATCCCCATCAAGCTACCAATGACCTTCTTCACAGAACTGGAAAAAACCACCTTAAACTTCATATGGAACCAAAAGAGAGCCTGCATAGCCAAGTCAATTCTAAACAAAAAGAACAAAGCAGGAGGCATCACGCTACCAGACTTCAAACTATACTACAAGGCTACAGTAATCAAAACAGCATGGTACTGGTACCAAAACAGAGATATAGACCAATGGAACAGAACAGAGGTCTCGGAGGCAACACAACTTCTCTACAACCATCTGATCTTTGACAAACCAGACAAAAACAAGCAATGGGGAAAGGATTTCCTGTTCAATAAATGGTGCTGGGAAAGCTGGCTAGCCATGTGCAGAAAGCAGAAACTGGACCCCTTCCTGACACCTTACACCAAAATTAACTCCAGATGGAGTAAAGACTTAAACATAATACCTAATACCAAAGAAAACCTAGGCAAAACCATTCAGGACATAGGGGTAGGCAAGGACTTCATGACCAAAACACCAAAAGCATTGGCAACAAAAGCCAAAATAGACAAATGGGACCTAATCAAACTCCACAGCTTCTGCATGGCAAAAGAAACAGTCATTAGAGTGAATTGGCAACCAACAGAATGGGAAAAAATTTTTGCAGTTTACCCATCTGACAAAGGGCTGATATCCAGAATTTACAAAGAACTAAAACAGATTTACAAGAAAAAAACTAACAAGCCCATTCAAAAGTGGGCAAACGATATGAACAGATACTTTACAAAAGAAGACATACATGAGGCCAACAAACATATGAAAAAATGCTCATCATCTCTGGTCATCAGAGAAATGCAAATCAAAACAACATTGAGATACCATCTCATGCCAGTTAGAATGGCGATCATTAAAAAGTCTGGAGACAACAGATGCTGGAGAGGATGTGGAGAAACAAGAACACTTTTGCACTGTTGGTGGGAGTGTAAATTAGTTCAACCATTGTGGAAGACAGTGTGGCGATTCCTCAAGGACATAGAAATAGAAATTCCATTTGACCCAGCAATCCCATTACTGGGTATATATCCAAAGGATTATAAATCATTCTACTATAAGGACACGTGCACATGAATGTTCATTGCAGCACTGTTTACAATAGCAAAGACCTGGAACCAACCCAAATGCCCATCGACGATAGACTGGATAGGGAAAATGTGGCACATATACACCATGGAATATTATGCAGCCATCAAAAATGATGAGTTTGGGTCCTTTGTAGGGACATGGATGAACCTGGAAACCATGATTCTCAGCAAACCGACAGAAGAGCAGAAGATCAAACACCGCATGTTCTCACTCATAGGCGGGTGTTGAACAATGAGAACACATGGACACAGGGAGGGGAGCACTACACACTGGGGTCAGTTGGAGGGAAATAGGGGAGGGACGGTGGGGGGTGGGGAGCTGGGGAGAGATAGCAAGGGGAGAGATGCCAGATGTAGGTGATGGGGAGGAAGGCAGCAAATCACACTGCCAAGTGTGTACCTATGCAACAATTTTGCATGTTCTTCACATGTACCCCAAAACCTAAAATGCAATAAAATAAATAAATGGGAAAAAAAATAATGACAACCACATCCGTTTGAAAACAGCTTTTAGATTTGGAGCATGTAACATGCGTATTTTAAGTATGTACAATTCATTTAGTCCCACATTTCTAAGGAGCTGTTCTATTATTGCAGAGTTCTTGTCCTGGATCAGGGTCTTCTGTCTGTACTTGAGTATAGACAGAATCCTATCTTAATGTTATGAAAGTATCTGATATCAGAATCTGTTATAATTAATGTTCCTAAAACTTAGGTATTCATGTCGCTTTTATTCTTAACAGTCATATGAATATTTCACGTTATTTCTTCTAAGTAGTTATATAATTTGTACATTTATAGGTCTAGAAAGAATTATGTAGCATTAGTATGTTACATTTTATTGTATCACTGGGGAAAATCCTTTCAAAGAGAAGTTTCTTTTAAATACTAAAAAAAATACTGAAAGATAGTTTAAGATATTAGTTTGAAATACTCAAGAAGGCGGGTTAATTTTCAATTGAGATATATGGGTTTACAATGCCTTCCCCATTTGGGATGACGAGGATTAAATATCTTGTTATTTCTGATCTATGGTTAAAATCACTAACATCCCAAAGTTTAGAGGAATAGCTGCTAATACAGCAGCACCAAACACAGAATGTGCTAATATGTACACTACGTATGAGCTTTATAATATATTATATTCATGAGTAAGCATCGTTAAAGATGATGGTTCTAAATCTCTCAGTTCACTAGCCTTTCCCTCATCTATCTACAGTTGTTATATTGTCAATTAGAAAATACTACACGAGGACTTGAAAAAGTGAATTTAAAATGCTGCATTATTTCACTTTTAGCTTTTAAAGTTTAGATGAATGGATTTACTCAGCTCAATT